GAGCACTTCGATTAACTGACCAACGGTATTGCCTCGACCATCCGAAGTGGACTGACTTGAACGGGACTGGTCTGTTTGCAGACATAGAACTAGGGCTCGTAACAAAATTGGAATCGCTCTGGTTGGAAGGAGCACAGATAAAGAAAAAAACAGAAAATGAGAAGGGCAAATGATAAATAATAGGAATGCGAAAGAAAGCACAGAATTCTATGCATGCCAGATGCTTGCATAGGGTAGTATATGTCGTGTCTGAATCGATGGCAATAGTGTATGGCGAACCTGATGGGAGGACTGTACTTCTGAGTTGGTAAACGTTCATGTGTGCGTTGCAGTATACTTGTTTCCAAATCTCACCTATACCCTCAAGAAGCTAAACATCTGTGGTTACACCTCGACAAACCGTAATAAAAGAGATCTAAACAAGACTGAAGGCGGAGAAGCTGAGCGCGGTGTTATACGTCATGCGACGACAGTAATCAATAGGCAGAAGAGATCTACGCAGTGATGAAAAGAGTATAGAGGAAATCTGTCTAACTATTGGGAACACCGGGATGCTTGGGTTGTGTCCACATCTGTCAAATAATAAATGAGATCCCAAGGAAGGGTATGAGGTAATCCGACAAAGTTGAACGAGAAAACTCACTTCAGTTCTGGGTCGATTATTTTTGCCCGACATTCATCTATCTTCAAACAGAATCCCAGAATGTGGAATATGACATTCATCAGGTCTCGGGTTTGTACCGGATCTTCGATTGTGCCCAACTGTTTGAGCAGACCACTCAAACCGTGAGGATGTGAGGCGAGCACACTGAGATGAGAGTACTGTTCCGGTGGTACTTTGACAGCGTCAAGTTGTTCCACATAGGGCAAATTGTCCGCCTCCAAACCGGGTATGCGATACAGGAGACGCATTGGCTTATCCGTCTGCAATAGGTAAGTCAGTAAAAGGTAAACAACGGCAGTGCCCAACTGGACTGAGACGATTGAAAGAAGATTGCATGGCAAAGATTACAAATGCGTCATGCACTTTTATTTGAGGAGGGAGGGGACTAGGCAAGAAAGAGCAGACAAAAAAGCAAACTCACATTATTTCGATTGGCGCACCAAACTTGGGTGTAGACATCTTGTAATCGTAATTCTGGCATAAGGATCTGATTTTCGCATACGATCTCGAGGCGCATATCAGTGGTTAAGTTATTGCCTGTACAGATATAATCAATCACATCGTGGATAGTCGGTCCGAATCCCCGAGTGTCAGAACTGGAACAACATATAGATCGGGGGGATAGAACAGACATCGTGAACAAATCCGAAACGTACATGATCGAAAAAAAATGTAGTGTAAGGCTTGAAAACAACAGAGAATTAGCTCGGGAAAAGAATACGATCCGTGAGGAAACAGCGTTTAACACACTGTTTACTTCAACGATAGAATTATGAAAGCATTCAGTTTAGTTCAGTCCAGTTCTTACAACCACTAACCATGCACATTCGTGCGCCGGTTTTGGTTGCTGTCGTTTGGTGCTCCATTTGGATAGAAGAGCGGAATTAAGATGGGTTTATTGAAGGTAAATTCAAGCGGAAGATGGAGAATTCATATAGAATGGTGTTAGGAAAATAATGAGTGGATGCACGAGCGCTACTGTTTGCGACGTCCAGCCATATCACTGTGTCTCTAAGCATCGATGACTATCATCCCGAGGTCCCCAGCCAGGGAGTCTAACGGGACCTATGTGACCTAGTTAAGATTTTCATACCCTCATGTCAGGGCTTTGTTTGACCACCCATGACCTCTTCCAACCGCTACCTGTCTCGGCAAACATCGCTCGCCGCGACAACCTATCTGGTGACATGCGTAACACATGTCCNCCCAGCCAACGTAATCTATGGAGGTCGATCACTTGCTCCAGTGGACGACCGCGACTGACTAAAACTCTACGCCTAACCTCAGCATTGCTAGTCTAGTTAGTGCACTGCAACGTAGACAGTGGCGCTCGAACACCGGCAATCTATTTTTATCCTGTTCTAGTAATGGCCAAGCATTTACACCCCATGAACATTACCCAACCGTAAGTGACTTGGTATGAGGGACTGTTCGATGCTGTTCAATTATACCCTTAGTAGTCTAAGGTGGAGCAACTTTATTTAAAATCGAGATGTACAGTCCGCAGCTGGATGAAAAATATAATAGAATAATCACAAAAATCTGTTGGACCAGAGTCGAACTCAAGAAATTGGAGAATCAGAGGTGAATAGGTAGTAAAAGGGTGTGTGCATCACACACACGCACGCACGCACACATACACACAAACGTGCTCAGAAGGAAACGTACGAGACGAGTTCAGTCCGGGATCGGGTGAGCAAATAGTCTTCGTGACCACGCCACACTTCCAAACTAACATTGAACACAGCTTGGTCCGTGTCGAACGGACAAACCGGCACACACATCCGTTTCCACAGGTACAAGGCGGCTTGGTGATCTGTTAGTGAATACTGGGATAGGACGTTCAAAGTTGTCTGAAAAGGATTTGAACAGAAAACGACACAATGAAGATGTGTGGAGTGCTAGGCTGGAAAATTGGTTCGAAACGGTGATTTTACACTGTATAAACTGCATAAACAGAGATAGAAGAGCATGTGTGTTGTGCAGACATGCCTATTGGTGTTCGTTTATGCCTCACGATTGTTCATCATTGTGTAATGAGAGGATATCTTTGACCGATCAGAAAATATTCCTCAACAACTTTCAAAAACTGGTGAGAGATAAAATGCGCAATGCAAATAGGAGTGCACTGTGAGGGAATTGAACACATAGTCGCTATTAGGATGGTGGGTGCCACGAGAAACTAACGAAAATGTAGTGTGCCATTGGATAGAGTTCATCAATCTGCACATAATGCTGGGTTGAGGGTACTATCAAAGGTGTATTTTGCTACAAACGACTGCATGGTGCACAACGTAACTGAGCTATGAAGTCACGAGCATCTACAACTGAAGAAGAAGAAACTGGTCATCTACGCCCATGGGCTTTTGAAGTGATGAACGGAATATATTTACCAACGGAAAAAATGATGTGTACATTCTGACAAAAAGAGGTGTTTGGATTCTTTATAGAAAAGCTTTTGTATGGCAAATCATCAGACTATACATTTCAGAATCAAAAATGTCCACCCTGGAGCAGATCAATTTAATTTAGAGAAAACAGTTGACCATCTGGCAAACTAGGCTGTCTACCATGTGCTTTTGTGTCCACTGAACAGTGTCAGGATTGGATGTCTTATCGACAGCGAGAAAACGCTGGATGTTTCATCAGGTTTGGTCATGGTGACCCTACAAGACGCTTACTCAACGAGCCGCATGCCACAAAGTCAACTTTCATGTTCCTTGGAATATATTTTCATTTGTTTCAAAATTGGGGACAACCCGTGAGTAGTTGGTAGCCGAATAATTTTTCAATTTAATAAAGTTAGAATATTTTTCTTAGTGGGCTCATTTGCCATACAGTGAATCAAAAAATATAAGCAATTTAAAATAAATGTGTTCAGCTTAATAATCGCTCTAATGAAACAGGAGTCATTCATTAGAAATAATGAATTTCCATGATGCTTTGCAAGAAATATTTCCCAAATCTGAGCCGTAAGTTGCGAACTACTACAAATTGTACCGCGACATTCAAGGTCACGCCAATTCAAACGGTGATATAAAAGAACTGAGAGACATAAAAAAGTTGGAGATGATGTCACTATATTTTACCTACAGTCATCAATATATGTAAGTATGATATTGCAAAATGCACTGGATTTCAAAAATAAAAGTGATGTTGCACGAGTTTGGTCAACATCTGTATACGTGTAGGGTTGAGCGAACAAATAGAGGACATGACGGTAAATAGGTGAAATAGAAGTGAGTAAAGAAACTGATACGTAACGAAAATTTGTGAACTCCAGAGAACAGCTACGGATACGCATGTAACGCCAAATGTGAGAAAAGTGAAGTCCATTTCAGCAATTAATTCAAACAAATTGGACAAAGTTTTGTAACAGAAAATTGGTCTTTCAAGTGACTCGTGAAGTTAGGTAACATAGAAACAAGAAAAATTGTCAAAGACGAGAGTACGGCAATGTGTGAGATGAGGAGCGGCACAAGGGGACTTCTCTGGGAATACTAATTGCATCACGAAGGTCTTTTGAAAGCAAAGTTTGTACATCAAATGGCGAATGATAATCGTCTCAGTGCACTCAATCATTCTTAGTTTTCGAATTTCGACAAGGACAGGGAAAGCCTAGATTTGTCCGGTATCTAACATTTCGTGCCATTGCGTCCAAAGTGCCAAATACTCATTCACTCTCATCGACAGCTGGCGTTCAGTCCTTCCAACGTATTACGAACCACATCGAGAAAGACGAATGCAACTGAAGGTGGAAATACACAGGCAGCCCAACACGCTTTAAACCGCTTGGCGATCGAGGTATCCAGGCATGGTACNACTGGCAAGATCTTGTGCCTGCACTGACCCTTTGTGGTGATCAACTGAAGGTAGTTGAGAAGTTTAAGTATCTCGGTGCTGGTGTTTAGGAGGAGATCACATCATGAAGAGCGAAAGCTAGAGCAACTTTTGCCGATCTGCCACATCTGTGGTGCCGTCACGATTCCCATTTGTCCATTAAGGAAAGGGTGTACATCACCGCCTGGATACCCTCGGGTTAAGTAGAGCTGAATGCTACTAGGGGCGTCCCCGGGTTGTGAACAGGAGGATACCTTCACCAAAGAAGGCTAGTTGTGAATAAGTTGCGGCATACCACAAGAATTAAGCAATCTCAAACAAACAGCGACGGCACTACCAGGATATGGTGGGTTTCAGGCTGGTCGCCTGGCTCCTGTTTAAAACTGCATAAGCCCAAGACAAAGGTCGATGTGATTGGCCTTTTAAAGCTCAAGTTATTGACCCCTCACTTCCGAGGCGAGGGATTAATTGCTGCTGC